TCCTCCCCCTCCCCGTCCCCCTCCCCGTCCCCCTCCTCCCCCTCCTCCCCCTCCTCCTCCTCCTCCTCCCTCTCCTCCTCCTCTCCTCCTCCTCCTCCTCCTCCTCCCTCCTCTCCTCCTCCCTCCTCCTCCTCCTCCCCCTCCTCGCCACCATCCTCCTCCTCCTTCTCCTCCTCCTCCTCCTCCTCCTCCTCCTCCTCCTCCTCCTCCTCCCTCCTCCTCCTCCCTCCTCCCCCTCCCCCTCCTCCTCCTCCTCCTCCTCCTCCTCCTCCTCCCCCCTCCTCGTCCTCGTCCTCTTCCTACCCTCCCCCCTCTCCCCTCCCTCCCTCCCTCCTGCCGCCCCCCGGCCCCCCGGCCCTCCGACCGCCAAGGGGGAGCGGCCCCCGCCCAGGTGCGACCAGCGAAGTCCTCGGCGGCAGGACCGCGGTCGTGCGCGTCGTCGTCGTCGTCGTCGTCGTCGTCGTCGTCGTCGTCGTCGTCGTCATCGGCGTCTCCGTCGCCGTCGCCGTCTCCGTCGGCGTCTCCGTCGGCGTCTCCGTCGCCGTCGCCGTCGCCGTCGCCGTCGCCGTCGCCGTCGCCGTCGCCGTCGCCGCCGCCGCCGCCGTCGCCGTCGTCGTCGTCGAAATCGTCGCCGTCGTCGACGCGGTCGTCGGCGTCGTCTGCGTTGTCGGCGTCGTCCTCGTCGTCGTTGTCTTAGTCGTCGTCGTCGTCGTCGTCGTCGTCGTCGTCGTCGTCGTTATAGTGGATCGGCGATCGTCGGTCGTCGGTCATCCGTTGTCGTCGTCGTCGTCGTCGTCGTCGTCGTCGTCGTTTTTGGACTCGTCGTCGTAGTAGTCGTCAGCGTCCGTCGTCCGTCGTTGTCTTGCGTCGACCGTCGCCCGTCGCCCGTCGTTGTCGTTGTCGTCGTCGTCGTCGTCGTCCTCTTTGTCTTCGTCGTCGTCGTCGTCGTTGGTCAGGTCGTCATTCCTTCAAATCGGCCCGTTCGCCTTTCCCTGGATGCGGGCAGATCAATGGTTCGAGGCCGATCTGGCTGTGGCGACGAGGGCTTTCGGGGAGACCTTGTATGGTGGGAAGCAACAGGTTTCTCCTTTTCCTACGGCGCCGCTTCTGCTGATTCTTTTCTCGTTTCTCATCCCTCTGCTCCTCGTGCTGCTGACCCTGTGTAGTGTTTTTTTTTCTGCCCACCCTCGGTGCCCAGGAGCGCTCGCCGCCGCTCTCCGCCCGGGTGAGCTGGACAAGGATCTCCGCCGCCCCCGTGCCAGGAGGAGGCGTCAGTGATCGCGACCCGCCAGCCTCGCTTCTACAGGGCGAGCGCTTCCACAGAGAAAGCTGAAGTTGTTGGCGTGAAATCGGTTCTTGCATTCATTGCCATTTGTTGTACTTCGTCTGAGGTTCCTGGACCAGGAGGGGGAGGATGATGAGGATCGGACGGGGAGGGCGAGAAGGAGGGGGAGGCTCAGGACGAGGACGAGGAGGGGGGAGGAGGATAAGGAGCATGATGGCGGATGATGAGCAGGAAAAGCAGAACGTGGGCGGTGTTGCTTGTCATGGTGCTCGTGCCGCTTGCTCCTTGTGGTGCTCGTGCTTGTCGGTGTCGGTGTGGAGCGGGTGCAGCCGCTGCGCAGGACGGGAGAAGGAGGAAGAGGAGGAGGAGAAGGAGGAGGAGGAAGAAGAGGAGGAGGAAGAGAAGCAAGAGGAGGAGGAGGAAGAGAAGCAAGAGGAGGAGGGGAGGAGGCGGAGGAGGAGGAGGAGGAGGAGGAGGAGGAGGAGAACAGGAGGAGGAGAGGAGGAGGGGGGAGGAGGGGGGGGAGGGAGAGGAGCAGGAGGAGGAGGAGGAAGAGGGAGGAGGATGATGAGCAGGAGGAGGCGGAGGAGGAGGAGGAGGACGGAGGAGGAAGAGGAGGAGGAGGAGGAGGAGGAGGAGGAGGAGGAGGAGCAGGAGGACGAGGAGGAGGAGGAGGCGGAGGAGGAGGAGGAGAGAGGAGGATGTGGAGCAGGAGGAGCAGGAGGTGGAGGATGTGGAGGTGGTGGAGGAGGAGGAGAAGGAGGAGGAGGAGGAAGGGGAGGAGGGGAGGAGGAATGAGGAGGTGGAAGAGGAGGAGGAGGAGGAGGAGCAGGACGAGGAGGAGGAGGAGGTGGAGGGGGAGGAGGAGGAAGAGAAGGAGGAGGAGCAGGAGGAGGAGGAGGAGGTGCAAGAGGAGGTGGAGGAGGAGGAGGAGGAGGAAAAGGAGGAACAGGAGGACGAGAAGGAGGAGGATGAGGAGAGGAATGAGGAGGTGGAAGAGGTGGAAGATGAGGAGGAATGAGGAGAATGAGGACAAGGAGGAGGAGGAGGAGGAAGAGGAGGAGGATGAGGAAGAGGAGGAGGAGGAGGAGGAGTAGGAGGAGGATGTGGAGGATGTGGAGGTGGTGGAGGAGGATGAGGAGGAGAGACGATGATGGTGATGCTGGTGATGTTAATGATTCAGATGAGGATGCTGATGTCTTTGATATTGACGATGATGGTGATGACGTTCGTGACGCTGCTGATGGTGGTTGCGATTGTGATGATGGGGATGATGATAATGGTGATGCTGATGGTGGTGATGTCGATGGCGGTGGGGAATCTTAAATTGGCGATGCTGGTGGTGATGATGACCATGGCGAGGACAGTGCTGATGATGATGCTTGTGGTGATGATGTTTGTGGTGGTGTTGGTCGAGATGGGGATGGTGATGGCGATGGTGATGAGGAGGAGAAGGGGTTTGTCTGGAGATTTGGGAAACGCTGGAAGCATCGTATATGGTAATGCTGATGATGCTGATGATGATGCTGCTGATGATGATGCTGGTGATGATGATGCTGATGATGATGATGATGCTGGTGCTGGTGATGAGGCCGTCTAAAATTATGTTGATGATAGCGGTGGCGATGCTGATGGTGATTTCGTACGGTTGTGATGGTGACGATCATGGTGATGCTGCTGATGCTGATAACGGTGATGATGCTGGAACTCATTGTGACGATGATGATGGTGGTTCTGATTCTGTTGACGAGATGCTGACAGTTATGTGGTGCTTATGATGGCAGTTATGCTGATGTTGGTGTCGATGTTGCTGCTTATGTCGTTGAATATCGTTGATGATGATAGTGATGGTGATGATGATGATGATGATGATGATGATGATGATGATGATGATGATGATGATGATGATCATGGTGATGATGATGATGATGATGATGATGATGATGATGATGATGATGATGATGATGATGATGATGATGATGATGATGATGATGATGATGATGATGATGATGATGATGATGATGATGATGATGATGATGATGATGATGATGAAGACCATTCTGATTCTATAGGCTTACGCCACATCCGCCGACCCCTCATCTTGGCGGTCTTGCCGGCTCGCTTGGATCGGGCTGGGGAGTCGTGTAGGGGTCCATAATGACCTCTCTTGGGGCCATGTGGACTCCGCTTGGGGTCATCTCGAGGCCCCGGGGGGCCCATCGGAAAAAAAAGGACGCTAATGCAATCTTGGCATCGTTCTGGAGATGCCCAAAGGGTGGAAGCGTTGGATTGGGGCCCGTATATTTCTTGCTGGGTTTGACTTCTTTGATGAGGCGGGGTTGTTTTTGGGGGCATCCCTCAGCCCGCGCGGGGAACCTCGGGGCTGTGGAGGGGACGAGTCTCACACGCTTGGGAACCGAGAAGGTGTTCGCGGTTTGTTTCGCATTGCTAGGTCCAGGCACGTTACGAGCCCGAGGCCATCGCGTGACCTACGGGGGCTGAGCTAGGACGCTACGTGCGGCCGAAGCGGTGGTTCGGTTGGTGTTCCCCCGCGTCCTCACTGGGCGTTTCGTCATCATCATCATCACCACCAGGTGCTTCGCGGGGAGAGAGTGGAGTGGGATGAGTGGGAAGAGGAACTAATGCCACGAGACCAGTGCGAGCGCTGCCGGCGGAGGTTGTTGGTAGAGGCGTTCACGAAGTACGAGTTCCAGAGAAAGGAAAGGCCGGCGTTCTGCAAAGAGTGCACGGAGGAGATGAAAAGCGCGGGCGAGAAATGGTGCAAGACGTGCAGAGGGTGGGCAACGAGAGGAGAGAGTGACGACGCGGCACGCCATGGTAGCGGTCGGAACGCGGACGCGGCGGCCGACGACGGGGAAACGAAAAGGATTAGGACAATGTACTGCGCGAAGTGCAGCGGTATCAAAGCCAAGCAGAACTCGCGGAAAGACAGCGCGAAGTGGAATCAGAGCGTCGGAACAGTGCGATGTACGAACGGTAAGTGCCTGTCGCTATATGACGAAAAGGCGGATATGTCGGAAGCTCAGAAGAAGCACAATGCTGCGGGGGAAAGGCTCTGTCGGAAATGCGCGGAAGAACGAGAGAAAGAGGTGCGACGGGGGAATGCGGAGGCAGCGAATCGCAAGCGGAAAGCCGAGGCGGACGCGAAGCCACTGACGTGTGCGGCGTGCGGAGAAGCGTTCTCGGACACGAAACATTTGAAGCATAAGCAAGTGGAAGATCATCGAGCGGCGAAAGGAGCGAAAGTGGTGTGCGGAGGCTGCAAGAACCTCGGGTTCACAGCCCGCAGTTGCCAGGCGTATCAGTGCGGCGGCGCGTGCAAGAGAAGACTACCGAAGTCGGCGTTCTCCGGGAACCCTGCCAACGTCGCACGCGATGCAAAAAAGGGCACCCTGATATGCAAGACCTGCAAATGATGCCCAATCGGGGGCGCGCGTGCGGGGGAGGACAGGGGGGAGGGGGAGAGAGGGATGGGGGGTGAGGCGGAGGATGGGGGGAGAAGAATCGGGGAGGAAGAGGATGAGGCGGGGGAGGAAGAGGAGGAGTGGGCGAGGAGGAGGTGGAGGAGGAGGAGGAGAGGGGGAGGAGGACGGGGACACAGAGACGAAACTCTGGGATATGTGCTATGGGTTAGAGGCTTTTTGTATGTGTATAGGGATCTCGCGGCACGCCTCTCGGGGACCTCTGGAAAGCAGTTTTGAACCCACCTGGCGGCCGAGGTGGAGGAGGAGGAGGAGGAGGAGGAGGAGAAGGAGGAAGGGGACACAGAAACAAGGCTCTGGGTTATGGGTTTTGGGTTAGAGGCGTCTTGCACCAGCTTGGGACCAATTTGGAGACAGGTTTTGCCGTCTTGGGGTCGTCTTAGGCCGAATTGGGAGGCGTCCTGGGCCGTGTTGGGATTCTCTGCGGCCGTCTTGAGGTCCTCTTGGGGCGCCGTGGGGCGATCTTGGAGGCTCTTTGGGCTACGTGAGCCGACGGAAGCCGGGAAAAGGCAACGATTGCAAACATGTTCAACGACGCAATGGACATTTAATGAAATGCGTAATGTGCGCCTCTTTCAGATGTCCTGGGGGTCTTCTTGGAGACTTCGTGGGCGATAGTGAAAGCCTTGTAGGCCATCTTGAGGCCATCTTGGGCCGTCTTCGATCTGTCTTCGGCCGTCTTGGAGCCATCTTGGGCCGTTTTGGAGCCGTCCTGGGCCGTCTTGGAGCAATCTTGGCTTCGAGAGCGCAAATCCTTTTTTGTGCGCAAACGCAACCCCGCCACCGTGCCTGGGTTGTTGATATGAGACTTGTGCGGTGATCGTTGGGATCTCTTGGGGGGCTTCTCGCGGGACTCTTGGAGGCAGTTTCGAAGCCTCTTGGGGGCCGTTTTGGAGCCTCTTGGGGGCCTCTTGGGGCCTCTTGTGGGCGTCTTGGGGGCCTCTAAGGGCCTCTTGGGGCCTTCTGGGGCCGTCTTGGGGCGGAAGGCTCGGATTGTCGGTTCGGGCTCCCCCTCTTGGGCACCTCTTGGGGCCGTCTTGGGGCCCCCTTGGGCTGTCTTGGGGGCCTCTTGGGCCGCCTTGGCGCCCTCTTGGGCCGACTTGGGCGCCTCTTGGGGGCCTCTTGGGGCGGTCCTGGGGTGCTCTGGGACCGTCTTCAACGCCGTGAAGGCCGACAAGTAGTATATGATCTAAATGTACGTTTTCCCATGGGAATTTGACGATTTTCGGCGCTTCGGCCCTTCTGAGGACTGCTCTTGGAGGCCTCTTGGGCCGTCTTGGGGGCCTCTAGGCTCGTCTTGGGGCCATCTTGGGCGTCTGGGAGCGCTCGTTTGGCGCTTCGGAGCTCTCGTGAGCCGTCTTGGAGGAGTCTTGGGGCCTTCTTGGCCCGTCTTGATCCCCTTTTGGGCCCAAAAGAGCCCCGTGACGCGCTCGTCGTGGGCCCGGGGGGGGGGTCGAATCTCCGGTTTGAGGTCCCAGGGGGGGGATTAGGGGGGGGGGAATTATCTCACACGCCTAGAGACCCACAAGGGGTCGGCGGATTATGCTCGCGATCATGACAATGCGGTTGATGCAGATGAGGATTGCTGTGATGAGGAGGATGATGATAATGATGATGCTGATGCTGCTGTCGACGGGGATAACGACGATGGTGATGATGATGCTGATAATGATAATGATACTGGTACCGATTATGATAATGATAATGGTAATGCATGATACTGATGATGATATTGATATTGATAATAATGATGATGATTGTGATGCTGATTATGATGATGATGATGACGATGATGATGATGATGATGATGAGGATGAGGATGATGATGACGATAATGAGGCTGATGGTGATGATGATGATGAAGAAGATGATGTGACGGGATGGGGCTGATGACGTTGATCACGACGGGGGTACAGGGCAGCGTTGTCCCTGCCTTGTCCCCCATAGGGCTCGCCGCTTCTCAAGTCCGGCGTGTTCCTCCTCTTTCCGCCACTCTTCCTCCTGTCTTCCATCCGTTTCCGATGTGCATCTCCCCCCCCCCTTCTCCGCCCTCGCCGTCCGCTCCACCTCGCTGGGTGGGCCGACGGGTCGCGCCACGGTATACATGTGTCGTGACGTTTTTTTGTTGGTCGGGCGGGCAGGAGCGACTGGTCGGATCGAAGCAGCAGCTGCATGCCCGCTGTCGTGTGGGAGATGGGAGGTGGCCGTGTTCGGTTGTGTTTGACGCCAAGCTAGTGTTCGACCTCCGGTCGAGGTACGAATGGTTCTTCGATCTGATGTTGCGACACGGTTGAACATATCGTGTCAGGCGTCGTGCGTTTTCGTGGACGACACAACTTCATACGAATGCGCTGGGATGCTCGTCGTAGTCATCGTCGTGCTCTCCCTCTTGCTCATCCTCTCCCTCGGCCCACTCCCTTCTTCCTGCTGTTTTGTCCTTTCCCCCCCCCCGGCTCTCCCCCCCCTCCCCGTTCTTTCCCCTTCGTCCTTCCCCCGCCCTTCCGTCTTCTCCCCCCTCTCCTGCCCTCCCTCCCTTCTCCGACGCACCCTGCCTCGTCATCGCCTTTGCCGTCGGCCTCCCTCCTGCTTCTCCGTCCTCCTCTTCCCCTCTGTCCTTCTGGCCCGCAGCCGTCGACGGCGGCACCGCGCCTTCCTCCGCGTGCCCGCCGACCCCGCAAGGAGCTGCTGAGCTCAGCGGACCGCGTCCGGAAGGACGCTGCCATGCGGCCTCTGCCACGGCCGCTGCCCTTCTCTGTCTCTCTTCCCTCCTCCGCCGCCTTCTCTTCCCGTGGCTCTCTCCGGCCGCGGCTGCTCCTTCGGCTCTTTTCGCTTCTCCTCCTCCTTGTCCGTCCCCCTTCTCCCTCGATTTCCTTCTCCCTCGATGCTGGATGTTGGGCGTGACGTGTCTGCTTCTGGCCTCCAGTTCCATCATCGCATCGACATACCATCGTCAGCGTCAGCATCGTCATCATCGTCATCATCGTTATCATCGTCATCATCGTCGTCATCATCATCATCATCATCATCATCATTCTCATCATCATCATCATTAGCATCATCATCATCGTACCATCAGCATCGGTCATCAGTATCAGCATCAGCATCAGCATCCTCCTCCTCATCATCATCAGCATCATCATTATCATCATCATTATCATCATCATCAGCATCAGCATCAGCATCAGCATCAACACCAGCATCAACATCAGCATCATCATCAGGATCAACACCAACATCAGCACAGGCATCATCACCAACAGCATCACCATCATCACCAGCATCATCAGCATCATCATCATCAGCAGCATCATCATACAAAGCATCGTCGTCTTCATCATCATCATCATCGTTGTCGGTGTCGTCGTCGTTGCCGTCTTCGTCGACGTCGTCGTTGTCGTCGTTGTCGCCGTCCTCCTCCTCCTACTCCTCCTCCTCCTCCTCCTCCTCCTCCTCCTCATCATCATCATCATCATCATCATCATCATCATCAAGGGCGTCCGACTTGGCCGCCGCGCTGAAGAGCCTGGGCTCCCCCACCGCCAGCCTCACGGTGACGTTCATCGAAGCGCTGTCGCAGTGCGACATCGGCGCCAAGATGAAGGGGACCCTGGAGCAGTGGCCGACGAAGGCCAACGGCTCCAATAACGACGGGATGGACGAGTTCCCTCCAGAGCTGCAACGGGAAGACATCGAGCAAGAAACCTCCCTACTACGCCTAGAGCAGTGCTAGAAGGAGACCGACACGAAGCCCACCATCGCGCTGAGGACCTGGGAACTGCTCCCCGCCGTGCTGGCGGCCATCAGGAGCGAGGGGAAGGGGGATATCCACACAGGCGTAGCTGGAGTAGGAGCTCTCGTGCTGGGTCGACGCCCTCGCATGAGGAGATCTGAGTAGGCCCGTTCGCTTCGTCAGATCGAGCTCTCCCCTCTCTTCACTGAGCCTCCCCCTCCGATTGGTGCCGTCTCCAACAGCAAGTGCAGATCGCCCCGCACACGCCCAAGTTATCTATATACCTCGCAATCCCTGGCTCGAGCTAGGCACCCTCGGATGAGCAAGCAGTGCTTCTGTTGTCCTTCTGGCGTCCGCCCCCAGAGCATCCGACCCGCAGTTTGATGAGGAGCAGGCCGACGAACAACCGGCCCAATCCCTAGCAATTTGATTCCGCCGGGCCTAGTTCACACGCCCTGCTTGAGTGCCGCTCGAGCTCCGCGGGAGCACCCTCGCTAATCGAGCTGTAGCATCCCTGCTAGCCATGGGCCCACATATGCTTTGCTCTGGTTTTTACACTGCACATCTTGCACGAGCGATCTCGCCGAGATTGGCGAGCTCTTGGGATTCCGCGATCCCTGCTGGAAGTTTGACCAGGCCGCAGATGTCGTTGAGGCTTTTCGCCCAGCATTAACTTTTCCCAAAGACATCGAGGATGGATGCCGCGTTGAAAAGCATGCAGGAGCTTCTGAGGGATCATGTGCTTGCTTCGAAGAAGGGCGCTGCTGACGCCGCCGAGGCCATGGCGACATCGACTGCTTCTGTCCACGCGACCCAGGAGGCGACCAAACAACTCGAGCAGAAAATGGCTGCGGCGAAGGGCGGGTGTGACTGACGGTTCGAGGCGTTCGGGGCCCATGCTCGCCTTTTAGTCTCGCAATCTTCCCGACGAGACGGCCGCGGTGGCATGGCGGACGGTGCTTCCAGCGGTGATATGGGCGATATTGCGAAGGCCTTACGGCCGATGCCGCCGACCCTGGAGACGACCCTGTCGTCTGGGCGCGCCAGCCCTCGCGGATCGGACGGTGGCTGCGAGGCGCTGTCGGACGTCGGAGGCGTTGAAAGCGCGCTTGCCGCGCTCGGGAAAGTGTCCCTCCTCCGTTCTGTGATGGGGGGGAGGAGGGGCAGGCGGAGGAGGAGGACAAGGTCGAAGAGGAGGGAATACCCGGTTGTTTTGTATTTTCCTAGTTTGTTTTGTAGCTTCCTAGGAGAGTTCTTGGGGCCTCTCGGGAGCCTCTTGGGGCCTCTGTGGGCTTCCTGGAGGGCCTCTTGGGAGCTTCTCGGGGCTGAGGGCTCGGAATGTCCGTTCGGGTCCCCCGTCTGGGCGCTCTCTTGGCACCGTTTTGGGGGCCTTTTGTGAATCTGGGAGGCGTCCAGCGCCGTCTTGGGGCACTTTTGGGCCGTTTGGAGACCCTCTCGGAGGCCTCTTGGGCCGTGTCGGGGCGATCTTAGGAGCCTCTTGGGCCGTCTTGGCGCGTGGGGAAGCGGAAGAGGCGAAAACGCCACAAATCCTTGAAGAACGTATGGGAAATCCATGATTTGTACCTCTTGGGGCTCTCGTGGGAACGGTCCTGGAGGTCTCCTTGGGGCGTCTCGCAGGCCTCTTGGGCCGTCTGGAGGCCGTCGAGGCGTCTTGGGCAGATCATTCGGCGATTCGGCGCCCACTTGGATCGTCTTGGTGGCCTCTCTGGGCACTCTTGGTCCGTCTTAGGACTTTTCTGGGCTCCGGGATTCCCCGGGGGGGCGGCGTAAAAATCCGGGACCCCCCGCGGGGCCCACCCCGGGGGGCGGCGTGAAAACCCGGGCCCCCCCCCGGGCGAGATTCGGTCTCTTTGCAACCAGAACAACCGCTTTACAACCAGATGGGTTACTTTACAACCAACATAGGATGGGAAAGTATGTTTTCTCATCGAGAACGTCCACTCTGCAACCAGAACGGCCCACTTTACAACCAGAACGGACCACTTTACAACCAGAACGGGCTACTTTACAACCAGAACGGACCACTTTACAACCAGCTCAGAGTGGCCGTGCGTGTTTGGGCGTTCCGCAAAGTGCTCCAGAGCAAGTGGGCGCTCTGAAAACTGCCCCAGAGCAATTGGGCGCTCTGAAAAATGCCCCAGAGCAAGTGGGCGCTCTCAAAAGTGCTCCAGGGCGTGCGGACGCTCTGAAAAATGATCCAGAGCACGTGGGCGCTCTGGAGCCCGAGCGCCTGAACTCTCTGCGCAGGCCCCAGCGATGCCTCTGAACCCGAGCGCCTGAACGCCCCGCGCAGGCCCCAGCGATGCCTCTGAGCCCGAGGACCTGGACGCTCTGCGCAGGCCCCAGCGATGCCTCTGAGCCCGAGGACCTGGACGCTCTGCGCAGGCCCCAGCGATGCCTCTGAGCCCGAGCGCCTGGACGCTCTGAGCAGGCCCCAGCGATGCCTCTGAGCCCGAGCGCCTGGACGCTCTGGCGCTCTGAGCCCAGCAGACTAAGACAGGGCTTGCTAGCAGGGGCCAAGCGGCCTCAACAAGGGCCCCGTGCTCGCACGGGAATAAGGCGACAGCATACGTAGGAAGGCTCAGGGCGACGCGCTGCCCATTTTAGGGATCACTCACAGGAAGCGAGCCCAGTGGCCTCCACAAGGGCCCAGCGCTCCAGGGAACTAGGCCATTGGCACCGCGGGTCTCTTGGGCCACGTTGGCCCCTGAAGCCCCACGGTGTTCTGCAAGGGGCTAAGTGCGCCCGCTCCAGTTGGCCCCCTGCTGCTCCTCGTCTTGGAAGATCGAGGTTCAACGTCCCGAATAAATGCAACTATTTCGAAGATCGTTTCTTCCAGCGTCAGCCACGGTGCCAGCGCAGCAACGCAGGTATCGTGCTCGGGCAGCAGCCTCAGCCACCGTGCCAGCGCAGCAGCTTGAGCCACCGTGACAGCGCATCACCGCCACCTCTGTGCCTGCTACCACCACACTTACCGCTGCAGCCCCGCTACCTCCACAATTCCGACTGACCCCCCGCTACTGCCGCAAATCCCATTGCAGCCCAGCTACCACCACAGTTCCCACCGTTGCCTGGCGACCACCACAGTTGCCATCGCAGCTTCCCAACACCATGCAATTCCCATTGTAGCCCCCGCTTCCACCACATCTCCCACTGCAGCTTTCCACTGCCATGCAGCTCCAGTCTTGGACGGGATCATGGTCTATTCGTATGTCCCGCGCGACTAGCCTTCGCCCGTCAGAAAAAAAAAGGCAGAGCAAGCAATGGCATAACTGACCGACAGAGCTTAGAGAGCAGGTCAAAACTCGAATCCGCCCACCAGCACGCGACATGCCATAGCGCACCAGGTCGCCGCATCGCCAACTCGTGCGCAGTGCTTCTTCGTGCGCGATGGGCAACTTTACAACCAGCATGCCTCAAAGAGCCCAAAGCCACCCTTGCGCTTGCCCACGGAGATTTCAGGGAAAGGCACGCGTGCATTCAATATGTGTTTTTACTTGCCTGGTTGTAAAGTGCCCTTCCTGGTTGTAAAGTGCCCTTCTTGGATTTTCTAAGCTGGTTGTGAAGTGACCCATCTGGTTGTAAAGTGCGCTTCTGGTTGTAAAGTGACCCACGCGCCCCCCCGGCCCCCCCCCCCCTGGCGGGGAAGGGATCAAAGGGAAGGGGCTTCCCTTCGACTCAATTGCGACGTTGCTCCATTTCGCCGAGGAGGGAACAGACGGAGAAGCCTCTTCCACGCGCCGACAGGGTCGGCGGATTTCCAGCGGCGTGGTGGCCAACGAGGCCAAGGACGCCGGGGAGAGGCTCGCAGAGTTGGTGTCGGCGCAAACCTCTGCTTCAGCTGCAGCGTCTACTGCGACATCTTCCCGTTCGGTGGCAGCCGAACCTGGCCGCAAACGTGCCCGGCGCAGCGGTGGTCGCGTTGCCGACGTCGACGGCATGGACATCCCCGATCGCGTCA